TAGAATATCATGTCTGCATCTTGTACAGCAATTAACCACTAGGAAGAATGTATGCAATGTGTTAATTATTGAAACTGTCCTACCAATTTGATTTGAAAACAAAAACAAAACACCCACAGCGAATGACGTGGAAGGAGGCCCATGGCCACTTCTTGAAGTTCTCTGAGGCGCAGACAATGCTCCTTACAGCCTAGCAGTGGATCTGCCACCCATTCACAGCCCTGGATCAGTGCTTTCGCCTCATGTCATCTGGTAGGGAGGCCCTGAGAGCCGCCAGAGCCCATCCAGGAAAGGAGCTTCCATCCGCAGCTGGCCTCTGTTTTATTATTATTTTTTCCTTTCCTTTCCTTTCTCTCTCTTCCTCTTCCTGTTTCTCTTGATGGTCTCTGGTGTGTAGCTGGCCTTGAGTTCACTCTGGAGCCCAGGCTGGCCTCCAATTTGCAGCAATGCTCCTGCCTCAGCCTCCTGAGTGCTGGGATTATAGGTGTGCTCACCTGGCAACTCAGCTCTTTTAAAAATTTTGAGATAGCTTACAAATGCTTTCTTAATAGGTAAAGACGAAAATGTTACTACTAGTTTGGACTTCTCATCAATGTGTGTTTTGTACTGGGGACGGACCTGGGCACGCTGTGCTGAGCTACACCCCAGCAGCCCCCGCACCACCTTTTTTTCTGAGACAGGTTAAGTTGCAGGGTGGTCTGAAACGTGCCACCCTCTTGCGTGGGCCTCCTGGAATACTGGATCCGGAGTATACCAGCATGCCCTGCATAGTTTTCTATAAACAGACATATCCTAGAAAGGTTTATAACTACAATTTATGCTTAAGAACCAGAAAATTTTCTTATGTTTGTTTTCCTAGAAAAGCAGGAAGGTCAGGCTGTTTCCACATGTTAGACCATGGTAAGCCCTTTCCTACTCTAAAATTTAGAATAAAATGTTAAAAAAACCATTTAATGTAAGTATTAGGTTAGTCTAAAGACAATTCACATGCTCCATACTAGAAAATTGTTTTGCTGATGGCTTCCCTGCTTCTCATGCTTCAGGAACTGTGCCGGGTCAAAGTGTTCTATAATCAGAATCCAGAAAAGCTGGGGAGAGGAGTCTTGGGAGCTCGTAACTTCCTCCATTCCCACTCTCAAAAACAGCTCACACTTAACTGTTGTGATCACAGAAAGAGTCCGTCTTGCTTAGGCTACCCTGGAAAAGAAATGTCACAGAGCACAACAAGGATACGGTCCACGACCAACAACCCGAAGTTCCAGAGCAGCAACGCGGACAGAATGAACTGTGGCTTCTCGGTGAGCTCCCTGCTCGCTCGTCTCCCACCGACGCACTTACAGCACCTGCAGGGAGACATCGGAAAGGGAAGCTTAGTCCTCACTCCTCCCGCAGGGCGCAGCAGGGCACATTCACCGGCCATTCTCGTTTCTTAAAAAGGTGGCAAAGACCTCAGCACCTGTTCCATGTCTCTTTCTCAGCTATACTGATCTGAAACAAGTCTTCATTTCATAAAACTAGAACTTCAAAACAGCCACTCAGACCCAGAAAGGATTTTGAAATCTGAGAGGGCACAAGAGAAAGTCACACAAGGACTGCCGTATAGCTTGGGTACAGCACATGCTTATCTTGAGTGGGGCCCAGGGTTCAATTCCTAGTACTGAGAAAAAGATAAAATAAAAACGTAACAATATCTAAAATAATGAAGTTCTCATGAAGAAAAGGATGCAAAAATAACAACCAAAGGCAAGATGGTAGAGGGCCAGGGATGTAGCTCAGTGGCACAGCACCTGCCTGGCAAGCGCAAGGTCCTGAGTTCAACCCGATACCAAAAAAAACAAAAGCAGCTACAAGAATGTGAATCTCCTGAGAGCAGGCTTTGTGGCTAGCAGGTTAGCAAGGAGGATACACATGCACAAGGGCGCCTCTGAGAGTGTGCATGTGTGTCCCAGACGACAGTGCAGGTCACAGGAGCTTTACAGGAATCTTCTGCAAAGGAAGACTGAACGCATGTGGAACTACCTGCGCAGCAGAGACGGTCCCAGAAGGCCACCTCTCGCCACATCATTCACACTTTCGTCTTCTACCACTGCTCTGCAACACCCCCTTGTCCCACGTCTTTCACAAGACTGCTGCGCTACTCACTGGCATAACTCCTGCAGTGCGAAGCTCACCAACGCTCCTGAATCATTAAGACTACAGCCGAGCCAGCTTTGTTTCCTCTAAGTCAGTCAACACTGTAGAGAGGTAACGCTACTTAATACTATATTCCTTAATACGGCTGCACAAGCACAGGGCAGATAGCTCAGTGGCATAAGCACCTGCCTGGCAAGCACAAGGTCCTGAGTTCGATTTCTGGTACCAGGGGATGGTCGGGGATACCACCACACAAGATGACGCTTGTTAAGACTTACTCGTGGACAGCATACACAAAGAGAACATCCGTAAAGATGACAGAAAATCTCTGGAAAAGTAAGGTCTTTGTGCTGAAGTAGTTCAGATTATGGACATGAAGCATCTCATGGTCAAAATATTTGGCAATATGAGACAGGACATATTCAAACCATGCAAAGAAAGGCGGGTAATCCAAGGTCCACTCTGAGGTTGCCTGTGATAAAAATTGAAGATACAACACATCCTAAGTAACTGAATAAAGAAGGTACAAAGACTTAACAGTTTTCACTTTGCTTTTAATACATTTTTTTAATGTTCAACTCATAGTGATCCTCTTGTCTCAGCCTCCCCAGTGCTGGGATTATAGGCATATGACACCATGCCTGGTTTTGGGGGCCAGGGTTCTAGGGCTGGTACAGCATGTGGTACCGGGGATCAAACTTGGATCCCTGTGCTTGCCAGGCAGGAGCTTAGACCGCTGAGCTAGCTCCCCAGCCCACACTGTATGGTTTTAAAAATGTCATTGAAATGAGATTGCATTTAAAATAATGCCCAACTCAGCACTTAGGAGCTGAGGCAGGAGGACTGCAGTGAATTCAAGGTCAGCCTGGGCTACGTTGTGAGTTCAAGGTGAGCCTGAGCTACCAAGTGAGACCTTGCCTCAAAGCCAAACCAAAACAACAACAAAGACAGAGAAAGAAGAAATAGGAAAGAAAAAAATATATATACAGCAATTTCTATGTAAGAATGAGCAGAACACTAAAGCTTGTCTTCAAAGTTCTTTCATAAGATCGGCAGTGTGTTAAGAGGCAAACATACTTTAAAAGATACTAATCTGAAACTTTTTTTTTAAGACAAGAGCATTGCTATGTAGCACAGGTGGACCTCAAATTCATAAAAATCCTCCTGCTATAATCCTCCTCCTAAATACTGGGATTACAGATGCATGCCATCATTCCTGCCTAATCTGAAACTGAAATAATGAAGTTGGTTATAATACAATTCTACTCATCTAAGTATTAAAAGAAAAAGGAAGGGTCAGGGAGATAGTTCAGTGGCATACGTGCCTGCCTGGCAAGTACAAGGTCCTGAGTTCAATCCCCAGTACCGGGGGAAAAATAAGGAACTGTAGCATAGCAAGTGATCACTAGCTTGGGTTTGAGTTCTGCCTAAGAGACTCATTTCCCCTCCTTGTAAAATGAGACGGGAAGATTAAGTGAATACATATAAAATATATTTATGTACAACAAAATGTTATAAAATCGTGGCTTATCCTTTGTTTCACTAGGTTCTGGTATCTTTGAGAATAAAAACCATCCTTTGTTGCTGTATCCTAAAGTAACTGTTGGATATGATGTTTATTACTAAGTAACCATTAGTTAAATGAGTGAACAGTCATTAATGAGTAAATTAAAATTTAAGATGAATGACACTCAATGTTAGGTTCTGAGAAGTCCTAGCCTGTTCATTCCTCTTGTGGGAATAAAATCTAAAAGACTTGAGCCAGCCAAATAGCTCAGTGGATTAAAGTGCCTGCAAGCAGGCACAGGAGCCAGGGGTTCAATCCCAGGGCCTGCTGTGCTGCCCCCACCCACACGCTGAGAAGGCAATTGAGACTGGGCATGGTGGCGCCTGCCTGTAACCTCAGCACTTGGGAGACTGTAAACAGGCGGATCACTATGAGTCTGATCTAGTAGTGAGACCCTGAACACCCTGTAGACCCTTCCCTAAAATACAAAAAACCCCACAAAAAACCTGTAAGACTCAGATGGCCTGAGGCAAACCCAAAGGCTTTCTGTCAGGCACTCAGGCTCTAAGCCACACCCTCCTGTGAGCTCTACTTCATGACTTCATGAAAAATCCCTTCCCCAAGGGACCAGGGAGCTGGCTCAGTAGAATAAGTGTTAAAGGCCTGAGTTCAACCCCTGGTTCTGCCAAAAAAAAAAAAAAAAGAAAAAAAAAGAAAAAAAAAAGAAAAAAAGAAAGAAAAAGAAAAATTCCTTCCCTGATACCAAATCTCCAAAGTGGACTATAAACAAAATAGGCCACTGAAAGGAAAAATCAGAAATTCTAGAAATAGAATTCTAGTTCAGAAAAATTCTTGTGCAAAGAAAATTACTTATAAGACATAGTGCATGAGAAACTGTGAAAACATTTCTTGCTAGGATATGAGCAATAAAAAATTTAGAAATTTCTGTTCACTTAATTCTAAGAAATTCAACTTCAATTTGGACTTAACATTTGCAATTTTCAGCCACATTTGGAAATGTCACACCTCAATCTACCCTCTAAGAGCTATTTTATCACAGTTTTTTCAATCCTATTTTACTGACATCGTTTTATTTATTCATTTATATTATTTGGTGGTGCTGGGAACTGCATCCAGGGCTATGCCCAGAACTGAATCTCCAATCTCCTTTTTCTGTTTTTGAGACCAGTTATACAATTGCTGTGCTGCCCAGGCTGGCTTGAACTTTAATCCTCCTGCCTCAGCTTTCCAGTCTGCTGGGGCCACAGATGCAGGGCGCTTTGCCTGGCTCAGTTACATTATTTTAAAATAGGTCATAGGTAGCATCTGAGGACCTCGGGTGCTGCCTGAGCAGGACAACTGTTCTGTGCTGCTTCCGCTGTCCCCAGTTCTGTCACACTACTCAGAAGCTCTGTACACCACCTGTATCCACTCTTCCCACATCCACTAACCTGGATAGCACAAGGCCCCCCCTGACCGGCCGCACACACCTGTCCAGCCTTATCTCCCACCGCGAGCCTAAGTAAATGATTGCCAAATCGTTTAGTTTTGCTTCTTGGTTCCCGGTCCTTGTTGGCAGGAGGAAAAAATGTGCTATTACTAGAGTCAGTCACAGCTACTTTTTCTATCTAAAATAGAGAGGAGAGACCTGTCTGGCACGAACATGCTTTTAGGAGTACTATGATAATAAGCAGTGGTGAATGTTAGGAGAGGCCATCCCAAAAGAATTTAACAGGTCCAAAGAAAAGGACAAAAAGGGAGCCCCAAAGAGTCAGCTTTTTAAGGAGTATGCAGATGAAGAAATGGCAAGACAGCCTTTTATCTACAGCCTGAGGGTCATTATCAATTAAGGTTTACTGAGCACTGCTGTTGCACCCTGCTAAATGCCACAGATGCGGCACCGTCATTTCCTCTGATAACTGTCATTTCACACTGGGGACATCAAGGCTTTGAAAGGTCCACAGAAAGGTCCACGTCTTGCCCACGACCACCAGCCTAACAACTAGCAGAGATTAAGCTAGTTGTGGTGGCACCCGCTTGTGATCCTGGCTGAGATCACTGCACGTATGCAGCCAGGCTGCACGGTGATAGCGAGACCTTGTCCTAAAAGAGGTAGCAGCAGAGGCTGGAGTCCAGCCCAGGCCAAGCGCTGACCACGAGGTTGCACACCAGCCTCCTGTAGGTATCCATACGCGCAAATGGAAACACTGTACACTAACGCAATCACTTTCTCAGTAGTCTATAGTAGCGGTATATGAAAATAAAATGAGTCACTTAGGACAGTTGTTTTTAGGCTTTCTCGGTCCAAAGAACTACTGCACTTTTTTTTTTTTCATTAAAAAATACAAAACACATTCCCCAAAAGGCAACAATTCATAGAAAACTTGCCTTAAAAAATATTTTCCTATAGCTCAGTGGTGTAAGTGCCTGCTGAGGCAAGCGCAGGCCCAGGGTTCGATCCCTGGCACCACATGAAATGCAGGCCCCACCCCCAGGTGCAATGAGCCATCGACCCAGTCCAGATGTGGGGGCACATGCCTGTAATCCCAGTGCTGGGGAGGCTGAAAACAGGAGGATCACTGAGTCTGAGCTGCATAGTAAGACTCTGCAACAAATACAAAAAAAAATTCCTGACAACAAAGTACTATATTTGATCAGGACATTTCTGAGGTAACATCTGTTGCTCATGAAGTAACACATGTAAGTAAGGGATTTTATAAATAGGAGAAAATGTTTTGTATATTACATGATGCTTACATATAATATTTCGTTATTCCTTTCCTAATAAAATTACAAAACGGGGCCAGGGAGATACCTCAGGAGCATAAATGCCTGCCTGGCAAATGCAAGGTCCTGAGTTCGATGCCTGGTGCCAAAATAAATAAATAAAAATAATAAAATTATACAACATAAGAAATAGAATGTTTGAAGTGATTCATTTTAAATCTGTACGTGTCACATGAGGCCTTTGCCAAGTGTCTTGTTACTGACTGCAGAATTTTCTATTTTTCCAATTTTTCTTCTTTCCCACTCGTGTTCCTTCAAAGAGTGTAGAGATATTGTAATTCTGAGTTTAGAGCTTGGGAAACTTTTGGTAACACTAGGGACTGGGTGACACATGTGCTAGACAAGCCCTGTACCACTGACCTCCAGCCTCTTCCATTTGATTTTTGAGACAGGGTCTCACTAAGCTGTCCAGGCTGGCAACAAACTTGTGATCCTCTTGTATTAAGCACCTCATGAAACTGGAATTACACGTATGAGTCACTCTGCCTGGTTGGCGAGTTTATTTTGAAGTCAGGAAGCAGGACAAAGGATGAAGATGTGTTATGTACATGCAGTAGCTCTCCACAGTGAATGCATTCACTACGAAGTGTAAAATTCCAAGACAGAATTGAGACAAGAACAAAACTTTAAAAAAATTTTTTAAAAAATCTTTTATTTATTTATTTGGTATAGAGTCTCACTATGCAGCTCAAACTCATACTGATCCTCCTGTCTCAGCCTCCCCAGCACTGGCACTACAGGTGTGTACCTCCACTCCCGGTTTCAGTGGCCGACATGGGGTACCAGGGATCAAACCTGGGTCCTTACACTTGCCAGGCAGGCACTCAGACCGCTGAGCTATCTCCCCAGCCCCCAAACTCTTTTTGTAGACAGGATCTCACTATAAAGTCCAGGCTGCCCTATAGCTTGCTACTGTAGTCTGGGCTGGCCTTGAACTCACAATCCTGCTTTACCCTATTATGGGGCTGACATTCCAAGCATATTTTATCACATCTGGCTTAGCATACAATTTTTATAAAGATTTTTTTTTTTTTTTGGTTTGGAAAACACGGTCTTGCTATGTAGTTTAGGCTGCTATATAGCCCTAGCTGGCCTCAAACTCATAGTGATCTCCTTGCCTCAGCCTCTCACATACAAATATGACAGGCAGGTGCCAGCATGTCTCTATATAGATTAACTGTATCTGGTGCTGACAATCAAACCCTGGGTCTTGTACACACCAGCTGAGAGCTCTACTGCTGCTATCCTCCCAGCCCTAAAACCTGTTGTAACCAGTAATGTTTATGTGGTTTTATAAATCATCTAAAAAAAAACCCCACAAAATTAAAACTTACCTCATAATACCACTGTGATAGCGGCAAACTGTGAGTGATAGCAAGCCAGTTTCGGTGTACTTCAAAATCTGTAGAACGGCTACTCAAAGCAGTTAGGTAAGTAAAATTAGACTTTAAAACTTTTATCGATTTCTAATTTCCACAGTTATACTGTTAAATGGTTTGACATCTTCTAAACAATCACAGCTCACTATCCTATAAAGACACAAACAGGTGTTACATATTCCTGAAACATCCGCAAGTCAGAAGGTCAGACCTTCAGAAAAGTTGCCAGATCTGAGTGTGGTGGTGCGCTTGGGGGGCTGAAAACAAGAGGATCACTGTGGGTCCCAGCTGTGTAGTGAGACCCTGTCTGTAGACCTGTACTAAATACATTAAAAAGAAAAAAAAAAGTTGCCAGATCTAAATTAGTGAAAAGGCTCTCCGAACGGGATTACAGGGCGCGCCACTACACCCAACTCCTTCGTAGGTCTCAACACGGCCTGAGCCTTCCGGTTCGTGCGCTCACCTCAGCGCCCCGGAGCCCGCGCAGCGACGCCTCGGTCACCACGCTAGCCCCACCGCGCGATGTGCGCTCGGAAACCTTCAAGCGACTTCGCCCCAGCCAGGCGCTGGAACGGCAGCCGGCCAGCCAAGGAACGACCTGAGCCGCGAGCAGCGCAGCGAGGGCGGCGCGACGCCCGCACAGCCCGGCGTCCCGTCCCCTGTCCCTGTCCCCTCCGCGGAGCGGACGTCCGTCTCCCGCCCGCCCCACCCCGGGGTCTCCGCGCCCAGCGCAGGGCCGCGCAGTCCTTACTAGGTGGGAATGAGCAGGCATTTGAGGAGACTCACTCCGAGCGCCAAAGCCGAAAACCAATTGCCGCTCCCCTGCACGGGGCCGGACGCCGCCATCGCCACACACCGCGCGTTTTCAGCCAATCGAGGCGCTCCGGGCCCCCGCGCATGCGCAGAAGGGTCCCCGAGGCGGGCCTGCGCGGCGTGCGCATGCGCCCTGCCGCTCCGCCGGCTAGCTACCTGCGGAGGTGCTTAAAGTTCCCGCGCACGCTCTCCACCGCTCGTCCAGCTCCAAATCCAGGAGGGCTCAACTGCACCTGCGCGAGCTTTTGTGCCTGACCTTTATTTGCTAATTCATATTTCTAATCAGAGTGTCTGGTCGTCAGCATACATGGGTTAGAGAAAACCCTGTCTTATCGCTCAGAGTGCTAGTGGAGGGCAGAGACCCTGTTACCTGTTGGTTATAGTAGATAAAAGTACTTGAGAGGGCTGGGGAGAGAGCTCCGCGACGGGGGCCTCCCTGGTGAGTGCACGGTCCTGAGCTCGATTCCCGAAACCCCCTCCCAAAGTACTTGAGAACATTGCTCAGGGGCCAAGGTGGGCGCCTGTGATGGAAAACGAAATCGAGGTAGAGAAGCCGAGGTCCAGAGGTGCAAGCCGTTACGTGCTGCGAGGGGGCTGAGCTTACTTGCCCGAGCAGTACCCACTCTGGAGGCAGACTGCAGTCTGCTTCTTCTACTTGATGTACAGTTAACCAGGGGATCTTGTTAAAATTCGGTAGGTAGGTCTAACAAACTACTTCAACTACAAGGGTAGCTGACAGCTTTTAGGTGTTACCTTCCTTTTCCTCTCCTTGTAGTGCTGGAGAGCAAGCCTGGGGTTCACACATGCAAGCTCTACCTCAGAGCTACATCTCCAGTCCTCTTAAGTGTTTCAAAGCATTTACACATGTTTCCTGTTGCTGCTGAACGAATTACCACACATTTAGTAGCTTAGAACACCACCACTTGAGCCAGGCGTAGTGGTGCACGCCTGCGATCCCAGCACTTGGGAGGCTGAGCCACGAGGCTCACTGGGACTTCAACACCAGCGTGGGCTACAAAGCGAGCAGCCTGGACTGCATAGTGACCCTGTCTCAAGTAGACAAAACCCCCAACCAACCAAAGAAACAAAACAAACCTTTATTCTTTTAAGAGTTTTGTCCACTAGCAGTGTGAAGCTCTCTCTGAGTTAAAGTCGGGTGTCTTTAGAGTTGGTCCCTTCTGGAGACTGAACAATCTGTTTCCCTTACCTTGTCAGCATTTAGGACTTGTCTGCATTCCTTGGCCTCTTCACAACATTCCCAACTTGCTTCCATCCTCACAATCTTACTTTTCTGTAGTTAAATCTTCCTCTGAGGAAGAATCTCTTTCTATTTGCTTGTTTTAAGGTTATTTGAGATTGTATTTCGGGATCACTGGGATAATTTAGGATAATCCCCATCTCAAGATTCTTAACACATCTGTGCAGGCTATTTTGCCAATTAATACGATGTTTACAAGTTCCAGGGGGCAGGATGTGGCTATCCTCGGCCATTATTCTGCTTACCACACACCTCAAACTTAGTACAACCAAAACTAAATTCACCATTTCTCCATATGATCATTCAGAGATTGATACCAGCTGTCTAGTGTGTGTGTGTGTGTGTGTGTGTGTGTGTGTGTGTATTTTAATCTGGTTGCAGCAGTTCAGTATGTCACTCACTGTGGGGTTCATTTATTTTTTGTTTTTGTTTATTTTGTTTGAGATAGTGTCTCGATACATTGCCTACACTCCTGGGCTCAAGTGATTTTCCCACCTCAGCTTCCCAGTACCTGTGACTGTGAAGCCACCCAACTCTTGCTTTCATTTTATTTTTTTTTAATTGTTTGGTATGAGGAATCGAACTCAGGCAGGCACTGTGCCACTGGGATATAGTCCCAGCCCTTGCTTTCTTTTTCATCTGATGCATGGTATTATTGATGTGTTTTACTACATCAAATGAGGCCCTGAACCTTACCTTGGAGATCACTACCAAGCATTTAACAGAGAAGGATTGTATGGCCAAGAGAGCCAGTCTTGGGGGACAGTCCTGTCGAGGTGAAAGCTGGAGAACTTGAGGAAGGCAGTGAAGCAATCATAGAAGAGGTGGTGGTGGCTGAAAATGTCTGCCAGAACCATCACTGCATGCATGGCAAGGTGTGCAAACTAGATGAGCCAATGCTCTGTGTTCCTGTGCCAGGACCCTACCACCTACCTGACTCCGTGGTGAGCCTGAGAAGGGGCACAGTAAGAACAAGACCACTGACTCTTCCTGTCACTCCTTTGCCACAAAGTGGACCCTGCCCACAAATCTCACTTGGTCAACATGAGCCCTTGCAAATCTATCTCCCCCAGTGCCTAGACTCTGAGCTGACTGAATTCCCCACGAAATACAGGATTAGCTCAAGAATGTCCTAGTGGCCCTGTATGAAAGAGATGAGGACAGTGACCGAGAAATGGAAGCCATGAGTGGAGCCAGTCCACAAGGGCGAGAAGAGGTGGAGCACCAGTGGCCACCCGGTTCCAACTTGAAGAACTACAGTACTGACATCTTCCCTGTGTGCTAGCAATTCACCAGGCTGGACCACACTCCTGGTCCCACGGCCTGGTGTGCCAGTGCCACACCAAGCTGCCCCTACTTCGCGTGTGCTCCATCCCCGTGGAACACATTCCCACATGGCTCACATGCATTGCATTTCTACAGTGTGCATTTGACAACAAGAGCATGCTGTGAAGGCTTTCTCCCATTGCTTATGTGCACGGTTTCTCCCAATGTGAGTTCTTCCACGTCTCAATTCTGGTGTGTGCTGATAGCTCTCCCACATTGCTTACACACACAGGGTTTTCCCCAATGTAGTTCTTCCACACAGTTGACAATGACTGTGTATCTCCTCTCAATGTGAGTTCTTTTATGATTAGCCAATGAAGTGTTGTTGATGAAAGATTTTTCAGTGTTTACATAAATAGAGATTTTCTGCAATATGAACTTTTTCATGTATCTGGGTTTCTTTTTTTTTTTTTCTTTTTGGTGGAACTGGGGATTGAACTCAGAGCCTTGCGCTTGCCAGGCAAGCACTTATCCTACTGAGCTATCTCCCCAACACCATCTGTTTTGTTTTCTGAGACAGGGTTTCACTGTGTAACCTATACTGATGTTGAACTCACAGATTCTCCTGTCTCAGCCTCCCAAGTATTGAAATTATAGGCATGTGCCACAACACCTGTCTGCATTTTTCATATATCTGAATATCACAATGAGTATTAAAATCTTTTCAACATTGTATACATATGTAGGTGTTCACTATGGTTTCTGTCTCAGATTTGAACACAGTTGGATGTAATGCATGCTTTCACATCTTGCTTATATATGAAGGACTTTTGTTTTGTTTGTATTTTAGGGAAAAGTCTACAGGGTGTTCAGGTTCTCACTACTAGATCAGACTCATAGTGATCCGCCTGTTTATAGCCTCCCAAGAGCTGGGATTACAGGTGCATGCCACCATGCCCAGTCTCAATTGCCATCTCAGCATGCCCCGGGGGCAGGGCCGGCATGACACACCCAGAGATCGAGCCCCTGGCCTGTGTGCCTGCTTGCAGGTGCTTTAATCAACTGAGCTATTTGGCTGGCCCAGAAGGGATTTTTTTTTTTTTTGTATTTACTTCAGGATCTATAGGGGCTACAGGGTCTATGGATCTACAGGGTCTTACTACGTAGATTGGACTCATAGTGAGTCACCTGTGTTCAGCCTTCCAAGAACTGGGATTACAAGCAAGTGCCACCATGCCCAGTCTTACAAAGGGCTTTTCTTCATTGAAATCAGATTAGAATTTCTCCACAGTGCATATATTAGTAGGGCTTCTCTCCAGGATTTGTCATTTCTTTCTTCTGCAAACACTGTCAGTGTAGGTTTTCCCATGTTTGCTACAGTTAAATGGCTTCCCTTCAAATCTCTGATATTCATATGATTTGAGTTCAGTGTTAGCTATGATGGGCACATTTGCTGATGAATGAGCAGTGAGGGCTTTTCTGCAGGAAAGATTTCCACCAGATTTTATACCAACAAATTTCATGTGCATATTAGCAACTAGAGTCCAAGAAACCATTTCCCCACATTTAAACTATATATATAATGGGGGCCGGGGAGATGGCTCAGTAGGATAAGTGCTTGACTGGCAAACGCAAGGATCTGAATTCAATCCCCGGTTCCACCAAAAAAAAAAAGCTATATATATAATGTATTTAGTACAAGATCTACAGGGTCTCGCTATGTAGATCGGACTCACAGTGATCCTCCTGTTTCAGCCTCCCAAGCACTGGGATTATAGCTCCCACCATGTCCAGTGTCAATCACTGTCTCCGCGTGCCCTAGGAGCAAGGCCAGCACGGCACAGCAGGGATTGAACCCCAGGCCCTGTGTCTGCCTGAGCAGGTGCTTTCGTCTGCTGAGCTATCTGGCTTGTCCCTGGAACTACTTATTTATACACACAACATTTGTCTACGTCTCCACTTACAGTTTACCAGCAAGTTTTGTACTCATCTTCAATGTGCTGGTCATCCAAGTTTCTTCCTATGGCAGACACATTCCTAAAGGTTTCCCACATCACACTTCTGTAGAGCTTCTTTGGAAATGGACCTGGAAAAGCCCACTCCTTCATGGTGAAATTCACAGCCCCCGCTGCTGGGGGCAGATGACTTCTGAGGGGATGGGAAATCCAGGCAGATCCTGGGTGGGCTTCAGGCAGGAGCCATGGCCATGTGCTACCTCTGTGACTTTCCCTTGTCCTCGTCCAGGTCACTAGGGAGGGGAGGGAAGGGACAGGACAACTCTCTCACCAATATTTTGTTTCCACAGGTGTCCCTTCCCTATCTGCTCGAATCCAGCTCCTGTTATTTATCAGGTTTTTGCTTCTTGCAGAGATGACTGGGCATACTCTTGCTCTTATAATCTCAGTAAGACATTGGAGGATGTTATGGTTTATGTCTAGCTGTCCCCCCAGAATGTCATAGGACAGACTTCTAGAGTTTGTGATTAATTCATGTTCCGTGTTGGGATTAG